ACATTATGTGAAGACAAAATACCGAGTTATATCGAGCAATACCGAGTAATCCCAAAAAATACCGAGTTTGTTCTTTGAGATTACTCGGTATTGATCTTCACAGTGCGGTATTCCTCATTATTATCAAATAATACCTAACAATACCGACCAAAGACCGAGGAAAAATCGAGTAACAATCCTTTGACCGAACGTAGAGCCACGTCCGGTCATAGGACATAATAAAAGCTCCTTGTAGACACCATATTTTTTATAATTTTTTTACAATATGAGTTAAACAATGTGGAAATGATCGATTCTTGTATTTTCCATTATACAATGGATTATTGAAACTAGCTCAAGCATTATGATTTTTTCATATAAAATTTTTTTATTTGTCACAACTTTTATCTGTACAATAGAGCTTTGTATAAAGGTGTTATCCTAATTAAAATTAATTTAAGTTACTATCATAATCATTAATTAAATATTAGCTCCTTTGGCAAATCAACATTACAAGTGATTAACTAACAATAAATTGGTCAAAATAAAATTTATTTAACATTTTAAACCTTGATGATTGTCATTAAATTTGTAATGCATTCCTAACAAAGCGCAATAAATAATTTATCATTATTTATGTTCTTAATTATTTATATTTTTATTATAAAAAGCCAAAACATCATTATTAAATACTCCTTAAATGATCATAATCAAACTTTATTCATTATTAAATATCTTCGAGCTATACGCATTTGACATCAATTTTTTGTCCAATTTGTCTTAGGTTTCATTTGAGATAGCTTTTAAATTAAAATTCCTTATGATAAGAATATGTATACTACATATAATAATCCTCCAAATCCTTTTAATATACTTTCAGTTGCTATATTTTTTTATCATTATTTAATTTATAAGTACATGATTGCAATAAATTCTAAGTGATAGTTTAATTGAAAAAATAATAACAAGAACAAGAACGAAAAAAAAAACATGTACATCTCTTATGAACCTTCTCTAAATAGAATTTTATTGTTCTAACAAAAATAAAAAAAATATACATGATAGAAATTGATAACCCAATTCACTTTGTGGCTTTGGCTGCCTGGATGGTGTTTGGTTTGTTGGGTTATTTTTGTTCTGGATGGAAGTTTGGATTTTGATTGGTGAGCCTGGAACTTTTATTCTATCCAGTGAACGTACGCAGAGGAAGGTTCGGTTTTAGGCAAAAAAACGCCTGTATCGAGTTTTTTGCCTTGGTTGTCTGGTCTAATTTTTCAGGGACGGACTATGATGAGATAGTTTCTTGTACGCCCCCTGATAGCCTTGGCTTGTTTTGACAATCTAGGTGGCTGATTCATCCGTTCGATCATTGGTGACCTTGTTTGGTTTGGAGACTTCTTGCCATTGTATACTCTACCTCTAATGGATGGTCCAAGCGTAACTTCTGGTTGGTGATCTGAGTCCTACTGACTTCAAGGCCTTTTTATTCTCATTTTGGCTTATTTTTTATTTTTAGATTGCAAAGCAATCTGTAGCTTATTGTGATATTTTAAGCTTTAAATTTTATATTTTGGCCTCCATTGACCTATGGTTGTACGTCCCTCCTCATCTTTGAATTAAATTTTTTTGTTTAAAAAAAAGGATAGAAATTGATAAAAATTTCGACACAAATACTAAATTTGTATAATGTGATGCTCTATAACTAAATTTGTTAAGGGACCATTTTACTACCTTTTCCCCATCAAGTTCATAAAACCTCATTTATACTTTGGGTAACCTAACTTCGTCGCAATAATTTCAATAAAGTTCATATGTGCCAATCACTAACCTACTCAAATGACAAAATTATTGAATGCATATTTAGTTATTGTTATTGCTTTCACATGTAATTTCATCATCTCTTCGTGATTGACTGTCCACCTATGCTTATTATAGTTAATAAGGTTTCATTTGGGACAATTTTCTTACTGCTCCTTAAAACAACTTCTTTAAAGTAAATACTCTAAGGTGTGTAGATGAATTATTATGAGCGGACGTCGGACACAACTCTACGTCCAGATGCCGCGCTGCCGAGCTGTACCTAGCGTCAGTACCGGTACGAGTACCGAGCAATACCGAGCCGCGGTACAATAAAAGGGTAACGTGGTGCATTTTTATTGGTCTCTGTATATCATTCGGTGTCCGCACAGAATAATTTTTCGTGTATAGGAGCCTTCTCAATAGTTTTGACTGTGTTGTTATCCCATTTGAATTATTTCCCTGATCAACAGTAATTATCATGAAGTGCAAACACTTATGATGGTCACAATGAATTGGACTACATGTTGCTAGGAAAATAGACAATAGTAACTACACAAGGATCACATGAGAAAATATAGACCTGCATGTTAAATAAAAAATAATAGTAAAATAAAAAAATAGACCTGCATGTTATAAATATCATTGCAGTAATAATGTATAACATTTCAATCCAATTATGTGACAAAGAAAGGAAAATACTCTTGATCCAATTTTTTTTTACAAACTAAGCTTTGTTTGGGATGCGGCTTTTTTACTGCTTTATAAAGCTGTTTTTTAATACAAATATAAAAAAAAAAACAATTTATCTAAAGCTATATCCAAAACTAAGTTCTAATCTTCTAGAAATTTATAATTTATATGAGAAAAACTAAGGTGTCTCTATGGAATCGCTTTAATTCTCAGTGTGTAAAGAATGAGGGGAACATTAGGGATGCTCTCAAAGATCATGATCTCAAGCTGCATCTTATGTCTCTTCGCCTCATGCGTCTCTCCCAGCACAAAATGTCATTCTTCGTATTGCGAATATGATTAGTTCACCAGAGTTGTAAATGAGGTGGTTGGTCACAACTAGTTTGTGGCGGCAATAATATTGATATTGCTTCTCCATATGATATGGATGTGGCAAATACTTATGGCAAAATAGGATAGTATCTTCTTATAGTATTCACTCCTAACTCGAATGATGGCCATGTATGGTAAGAAGGCCTTAAACTTAAACCAGGTGTTGAATATATGAAGGATATGGATCCGAGTAATGTAATGGTGATGTCCCTTAACGGTCCTCCAATGACGGCCTACGATATGGTTTGTAATCCTCGATATACTTAATATGTCTAACCTTTTTGAGAGAAAATTGATGTCGCTTGCCTCACACCCACTATTGTTATCTCTTGACAATGTTGAGTACCGTTATCTATTTAGGAACCAATGAAGGGGAGAACTCTTATGAGAAGAAAAAGGATGGAGATGATGTCATGCTTAAATCATATTTTAGTTTCACTATAAAGCTCTCACAAATGTAGTTTCACAGTGAGGAGGATGTGTAAAGCCTTAGTTCATATGCTCCATATGAGTAGTTTGCAAGTAAGAACAAATATAAATTCAACTATAATCATCCAACCCTTGCATAAGCCAGATCAAATAAAGGTTCCTTCAACTAATCGGATACTAGAAGACTTGCCTTAGAGTCCCACTTCGCTCGAGCACAATCAAATAATCAAAGAAATGCCAACCAAATCATCTATCAACATAATCACTGGGTTTCCTCAAATTCTAGAAGACTTAGGCTTCATTTGGGATGACTTTTTTCCTACTTAATTTTTTTTTTTTAACAAAAACACAAATTTTATTAAAATAAAAAAGGAGGTACAAGAAACATGAAAGCGAAACGAAAAAAAAAAAAAAAAAAAAAAAGCTACAGAAGATACAAAGGGATAACCACCCATCAGGCTCAGTAATTGGCAAAAAAAAAAAAAAAAAAGCTACAGAAGATACAAAGGGATAACCACCCATCAGGCTCAGTAATTGGCAGAGGCTTCCAACTAGTCCGAAGCCAGGCACAGGCCATCCAGTTTGGACTTGAAAGCAGAAACACACCAAGTAGCCATCCCAACCAAGCAAGAAACATATCACCAAAGGTTGCCACGAGACAAGGCTACGGAAAAGTGAGCCCTAGCCACATCATCGCCCAAAAACGCCATCCTCTTTTTTCCTACTTCTTAAAACGACTTTTTAGTATAGAAATTTAAATTTTTGTACTTGAAAAATGCTTTAAGAAGCAATAAGAAAGTCATCCCAAACGAGGCATTAATCTTTTGCTATGCTTCGTTTCATATCATCTCCACTAGATCTAACCTCTCGTTGATGATGATACATAGCACCTTAGGTATGGAGCAAATAATGTGATCCACAACTTTGGAACATGAAATATGGTCCCAATGGACAAAAAATATAATAATATTTATGGTACCCAAATGATGGCCCACTAGTTTCATGTCATCAAGGCAAGTTGCCATGACGCCCATATTGCCAGAGCCATTTTATTGCACCTCATCACACCATGTGACCCAAATCTTTAATCATCGCTAAAACTAGTCACATGTGACTTACGTGTCACCTTCCACCTCAGCATCACCTCTAATACATGTTTCCACTAAAAATATCTCTTACTTTTTCCCCTAAAAGGGATTTCAGAATTTTTTATTATTGAGACTGATTGAATTGTACTCAGGGAAGCCCTAAAAGCATGTACTTTTATTCTTATTCAGCTAGCATGGTGAAGCTTATTCGCGTTCTCCTTTATAATGGGCATAAGCCAATTGACCAACCACTTAAAGTGTTTGTGTGTTGTCTCTTCTCTCTACTTTCTCTACTTTTTTTTATCTCATCATTTTCTCCAAGCCAAACTCCATATTCCATCAATGAATTAACCCAACTTAACGGCTCACCATTCTACTAGATTTCTCTTCCTCTCTCAATGAGTTGGTGGAAACTTATAGTTTCATTCTTTAGTATCATTTTGACTCATTCTCGCACTTTAGTGTTATTTTTAGCTAGTAAGAATGATGCATTTGTAAGCTTAAAAATTTTGCTAAGTATACAAGGAGAACAAGGCCTTATACTCTCTATGTATATAAATTAGGTCCATCTTTTTCTCATTGTGATGACTAAAAACCAACATTGATCTAACAAGGTAAAATAAAATCTACAAGCTTCAATTATAGTATTAAAAGAGAAATCTTATTCCAAATTTAATCAATTTTAATCATCTCATTACTATCACAGCAATATTTTACAGAACAACCACCACTCCTGGAGCACTTCAGAGAGAATTTTTTACATAATTTTACAAAATAATTCTTTCCCAACTCACAGCACAATACAGCATCCCCATACATCACATCACTATAGAAGCATTTCTACTACCCATATAGGAAGTAAAAAGCATAACTAAATAAGAGCTATGTAAACAGGGACAGTAATTTCCTTTATTTATTAAAACTCAGCCGACTGAAACTCAAGCCTCATTTCCCTCTGAAGCTACACAGGGGAGAAAAGACAGGGCCTCTATTTCTTGAATTAATAACATTTAAAATTTTGAAGTAAACATACGATAACATTAGGATAGAATATTGATACTCAAAGGATTGATTGAAGGGTTGATATCACTTCACACAATATTGATAAGGAGAGTTAATCGGACCAAAACCTGATAAAAGAAGCTATAAAAGCTTTGATTGCATTCCACAGGGGGGTCTTTTGAGACATCTCAGACACTTTGTTAGTCTCCTGGTTTGAAGAGCTGCAAGAGATAAAAGAGCCATTGAAATGGTTATTAGAAACATGTTTTACTGAAGTTTGCTAAATAGCCGAGGAGTTGCTATAAATGGACAATCAATGGAGCTAAACATGTACTATGTCTATAAGTTTGCATATTATACGTATAATATATAATATATGTCAGCACATGAGTTATGCAAAAAAAAATTCGCATATTTTCAGAATAAATGAAAACTAATCATATTTTTAAACTTCAATAATACTCAAATTTTAAATATTTCCACTGTTGGCCAACAAGAAATTATTAATAACCAAGTTGAGTATGGTAGAACTCAGAATGTTAAGAAGTACTGTGTTGGCCTTGTGTATCACTTGTCTAAGAAGTATAAGATCGCATGCGCATAGTGCCACTTTGGCGAGTGCATTGTAGCATTATGCTCTGACTTTGACATAGAATGAAATCTTAATTCAAATTTAATAGTTTTGTTTAACTAGCGCAGATAGCTTCTTCTCAAAAATGGTCCTTGGTGTATCATCTACATGCTCCTCGGAGGCCCATCTTCACCCTCTTCACATTGCCTCCACTTGGTCTCTCAATCTCACGATTATTATTAATTTCTAATTATTTTTTCATCGCTTCATTTTTTATATCTTTGTATTTTTTTCAAAGCTGGAAAATTAATATTATTGAATTTATCATTATATTTATTGAAAGTTATTATATAATATAGTTTAAGTTTAATTAATTAAATTATTATTGTATGCACATAATATAATTAAATGATTATTATATGCACATAATTAATGTATATGTTGATGGTCCAACGATCCTATAGCACAGCTTGGCAATTAGTGGGATTCTCTAGCAGTAAATCTTGGCAATCCAGGTGATTGCAACTATCTCAACTCCCTTGGGAATTACATGGAGCAAAGAGTGCAAACCATCGAATATCCTTTCTTATTCGCATAGATGCATGTACAGAAATTTAGATAATACTTAATATTATATCCTAGGAACTTTGTCAAGTAATCACTATGTTTATTAGTTGTTTCCAAAGATAAAAACTACCTAATGTAGCGTATAATCTTTTTGTATAAATAAGAGTTTAGGATCCTCAATGAGATGCACACAAAATTCAAATTATATATACTATCTTAAGAATATATGATATTCGAGTCATGAGTGTCATAGTTAACAATAACGATGTTGTGCTCTGCTCTATGCACATCGAAGAAAAAAAACAAAAAACAAAAAAAAAACCCTTTCACATTGCATTGCACTTAGGAGTAGGGCTTATAAGAAACAGTTGGGATAAGGAAAAAGATGCTGGTGATGGATCATAAATCATAATCTAGTAAAATCTGCTAAAATCAAACCAAATGGCTCTTGCCCTTAAAAAAAATACCCAACCATATATGATAATGCTCTTTTGAACAGAGAATCATAATAGATATATACATATATATATGTATTTAGTCATATGCTCATGTTTCGTATACTAATTTTTAAGATTCTTGATATTGTTGCAACCGTATGAATGTATTTCAATATAATAATTTTTACAAAGACTAGAACCTTGGATATCGCTTTAGAGATCAAAGGCAATATCACTAAAAACTGGTTGGTGGTGATATATCCATCTAAAAGCTAGGCATCATAGGTCAACTGTCTTAAAGATTACAAATCCATTTTACCATAAAGAACAGAATAAGAAAGGCAGCAAATTTAAATTCTAAAAAAAAAATTAAGAACATAAAAATAAATAGTATAACTTCCTAAATTTAGCTTGTAAAGTTCTCTTATCGAATCATTTTACATGGATTTAAATTGATTAGTAGTATTAGAAAATCAGCCACCATACTTTCCATCAATTTAGGATATTGTAAATAGGACAAATTTGTAATTTACCTTATATTGTCTCCACCATTCACAGTACTGAAAGCACCATGTTGTCTTTCAGTCTTGAAGTCTGAACGATCTGCCTCTTGAATGACAGGTTCAAGTAGTTTGCCTGAAGCATTTTCTGATTCTTTAACAGCATCAACAAGACTACTGGACTTATCTACCAATTTCAGCTGCATCAGAAAAAAATAATGAACCCACTTATCAAGCATGGATTTATACTACTGAGGCAAGTGTTACTAACCATTTGACTACAATACTAGATGCAATAGTGAAGAAAAATAAATAGTTCATGAATCTTAAAGTGCTCTAAAACACAAGGCTGAGCACATTTGTTGACTAAATCGCCACACATTGTATATTTTAGGTATATATACAAAACATCTACATCAAACTAGTTTCTTAGTTAAAGATAAATCCAATGAAGCAAAAATTTGAAAACAAAACCATAAAATATCAATAATGGCCACAGAAAACAAACAAATTATGCAATTGTGTAACATAAATAAGGGAGTTCAAAACAAATTGAATCAAGTTTAACAAAAAATAAGCAAATCTAAAGATAAAGTTAAATGCAAACAAGATGTAGGGTGCATATCTAATTTGAAAACAATATTCAAAATCAACTGCAATTTTAATGGCGGCCTTCCGATGACCTTGTTAGGAAAGTAGATATATTAAATTTGACTTATGTTAAGAAAGATAGAGGTAGACCGAAAAAGACTTTGTTAGAAAATATTAGAAATGACATTTTTTTATTAGATTTAGATGATAATTTGACCTTTAACAGGACACAATGGAGAAAAAAAAATTCATGTAGCCGACCCCACAGTGGGAAAAAGGCTTGTTGTTGTTATTGTTGTTATTGTTCAAGTTCTTTAAAAGAAAAAGTGTCAGACAACTGATTAAGGAAAGCCAAAATGGATAAACACAGAAGAGTCGGACAACTGAATTCACTGTACATTATATCTTCATATCCCTTCTTTAACCTTTTTAACTCTAAGCATTGCAAGGTCATGCAAGGGCTTCATATGCTTTCCATATTCTCCGTATGTAACCCTCAGTGCAGACTATGTTGCCATGAAGCTCATCAAATTAACTAAAACATATGAAACTAAGATCTGAAATGGGTGTTAGTTCTAGTTCAGCATGCTTACATCATTTTCTGCAGCTCCAGGTGCAGGGGATCGTGTTGTTTGTAAAACAAAGTTATCCATACATTGTCCTTTAGCTACATCAATTCCTTGTTCACTAGACGAAGCAATCTCCCTGGATTGTTCAATACTTGCGAAAGGCTCTTTGTCAAAAGGAATAAATGGAACATCACCTTTATTAGCAGAACTAGAAGTTTCTGATGAGCTGAAAGTACTGTTTGAGCTCACTGTTTCTAACTCTGAACTGTAAATAGCAGTTCTTTTCAGGAAGGGCTCAGGTGGCAAATGCACTTTATGAGCAGATCTTATAATCTGTGGCGTGTTAGAGACAGCTAGAGTTACCGTTTCTGAGGAGACATCTTGGTCTAACGTATCATCTACTAATGCCAAGACTCCATGATTATCCCGGTGACCGTTTGACTGATCATCCACAATGTCTGAGAAAAGCATACTAGTTCCTGGTAAGCTTTCGTTAACAGAGGTCTCTGAAATGTTGGTGTTCTCTTCAAAACAATTTGTTCTCACAGAGATTTTATTGTGCGTGTCTTCATTAGTCAGTTCAGATTCAACCAAAAAGTTTCCAGACCCGGTAGGATATAATGAATGTGATTGCTTAGCACCTTGAACTTTAGTGTTTATCTGTTCATCACTTCCCCAGGCATCATCCTTCTTTGCTGTTAGTGAGTGAACATTTGATTCCTCAGTCCCCGAATTAATCAACTCTTCATGTAGAACACTGCCGTTAGCAGAGTCTTCTATAAGATTAGTTTCGCCATTCTTCACTTGCCAAGAAAAGTTCTCATTCATACGAGTTCCGAACCTTACGTGGGCACCAGGTTTGTTTATTTCAATATTCACGTCACTTGTAACTTCTTGCAGCTCCAATGAAGAATCAACTTCACCATGAACATGATCTATTCTATTGCCAATACCTGAAATGGATATGTTTCCACCAACATCCAGAAAAGAACTAGTATCTGTCTCCTCTTCAGTGTAATACTGGAGATTTAGTAATTTTGACGATGGGTTTCCAGGACCCAGCACTTTATTTTCTTGAATTATATCTCTCACAATTTCCCTTATAGTGTAGAAAGATCCACCAACTTCCTTGTGTGTAAGATTAAGGGATGGAAATTTCCCATTATTTGAGCTCTGGTACCTGAAGGGAATTTTTAAATTCGATGTGAATAGTTCTTTAATTTGATATCGATCACTTCAGAATGAAATACTGAGTTTGATGCGAGTATGGAAATTAAATGATAGATATAAGGGAGAAATACATACATTCCACCAAAATCATACATATTTACCAATCTCATACCTAGTTAAAAATGAATTATTGAACCGAGCATTTGGGTGTGTTGCGACCAAAATAATGTGAATTTGATTAAACCGAAAAAATACGAGTTGAGATTTTATTATGAATTTTGGCATTCAAGTAAAATTTTGATAAACTGCGGTACATGTGTTAGTTTTGTAAATAATTAAAATTTGAATGGTATGTATGAAATTTGGTAACAATATACAAGATGATGTCACATGTGCATTCACTAATGTTGACTTCATTAATACGATGCACATCCATATGACTATCCATATCGCAGGCATCCCCATGCAATGACTTCAAAGATGCCATTTTGATGCATGCAAATTACTATTTATTTTCATTTTTATTGTAATTTGAATGTTATAATTTTTGTTTTGTTTAGTATAGTTTAGGTTTTTTTAATTTTTTATTTTATTTTTTATTTTTTTTTTTATGGAAAACATTCAATGATCATGAGTAGGTAGTGCTTGGGCATGACAAACCTTGGGTGTGCTAGCTTCTTGGGTTCTTTGGTCTTTTGGGCTGCTGTTGCCTCTCGAGTTGAGTCTTGGCTGCTCAGGTTTGGGCTGTGTTCTTTGGGTGCTTCTTGGTTCCAGCTCATAAATGCTTGAGCTAAAGGTTTAGCTCATTAATTTGAAAATGTATTCTACTTGTTAAGCTCATTAAGTGGAGTTAGAACTTTTCTCTTCCCCTTCTTTGTGCCCCCTCGGTTTCTTCCTAGTGTTGTTTCCAGTGGCTAGTTCTCCTCCCTTTGTTGGGTGCTAGTTCCTGTCCCCTGTGCTGCCTTTTCGGTTTCTTCCCAGGCTGCTTTCCCGTGGTTGCTTTACCTGGTTCCTGTGTTGCCTTTTTTGGTGCTGCTCTATTTTGCCTACAGACCTTCCTCTTCCCCTAACCTGATTGGTTCGGTTGGAGGTGAGAATTGACTATTTAGCTGCCCCTTTTCTCTTATAAATTAGAGATGTATTTGTCATGAGGAGGTTGTTGATTATCTTGAGAAAAGTCTTTAAAAACCTGAAAGTTTCTTCTCCTTTCTTGGAAAAGCTTGAGAGCTTGCTCTAGTTCTTTCTTCCTCCTCTCTATTTCGTCTTAGCTTCTAATATCTTCTTCTCTACGCAAGTTCCACTCCACTTGTAGCCTTCTTCTTGAGCTATTGGAGGTGTTCGTTGGTAGAATTTGGTGACATTAGCTGGAGGAGTTTGGTTGGACGTTGGACCTTGTTGCTGTGGTGGACTCTTGGTTTGTAAACCCTAAGCACTTATCTTATTTTACCTACTTTTCATTGCATGTGCGGAAACCGCTTGCCGGTTGTTCTGAGGATAGTGTTTTTATTTTTAAATTTTGTTTCGTTTGTTCAACTTTGGTTTGTTTTGATGTTTGTTTGGATGTATACATTCTAGATTGAATCAAGTTTTGTTTTAGTTGTTCTAGTGTTCTCCTCTATTGACTCTTTCTTTCTAGTTTACCTGCATCAAGTTTGGTATCAGAGAGAGTTAGAAAATATTTGGATGGTGTGAGTCTCTTTCTTAAGAAAACAAAAATGGCTAATAATCAAGGGGATTGGCAACAAATAATACAACAGTTAACGGATTTGCAAAATCAAATAAACAACATTGCTAATACTCTTGCAAACTTAAATGTCAACAATCCTAATGTTCAAACTTCTAAGAGTGAGGAGGATGTCCCTAGAAACTAAAATTGGCGACAACAAAATTAAGATTATGAAATTAAAATTGATGTTCATAACTTCGAAGGTAAATTACAACCCGACCAATTCATCGAATGAGTAGAAAAAATGGATCAGTTTTTTGAATGGAAAGAAATACCGGATAATAGGAAGGTCAAATTTGCAAGCTTAAAACTCACTGGTCATGCACTCACATGGTGGAAAAATCTTCAAAACAATAGACAAAAGCGAGGGAAAGAAAAATTCAAAACTGGGAAAGAATGAAAGAAAAAATGAGAGGAAAATTTCTGTCTTCAGATCACGCACGAACAAGCTTTCAAAAATTTAATAACTTGCATCAAGGTAATCAATCTGTTGAAGAATACACTGAAACTTTTTACAAACTCCAATCTAAAAATGATTTAGAAGAGTCTGAAGAAAGAACTGTCACAAGATATATCAACGGTCTAAAATGGACAATCCAAAATCAACTGAGTTTACACCATTTAATTAAACTCGACAAGGTATATCGAATGGCATTGAAAATTGAAAAGCAACATCAAAAGGGTCACAACAAAATAACTAAAACATATAAGCGAAGACAGACTAGCGGGGCTAAAACTCAATCTTCAAAAACTTTTGTAGGAACATCGAGTGTGCGAACTAAATCATTTGAAACTCAAACTTTGGATAAGGGTAAACGAATAATGGGGCCTAAATCTACTGAACAACCTAAATTGAATGGACCATGTTATAAATGTGGGCTTTATGGTCATCTCTCTGCGGCTTGTTAAAAAAACAACCCACCAAGAAATAATTACATTGAAAATGATGAAGAAATAGAAGAAGAGGAAGAAAACGAATCTGAACCTGAAAACAAAATTGAATTGGAGAAAGTTGATGTAGAGGGTGATGAAGGTGAACAGCTTTTAGTAATCCGACAAGTTTTAACTGCTAAAAGTTTAACTGCTAAAATGGAGAATGGGGATAGGTGGCTTAGAAGAAATATTTTTAAAACCACTTGCACGGTTGAGTAAAAAATTTGCACTCTTGTGATCGATAGCGGAAGTTCGGGTAATTTTGTTTCACAAATAATGGTTGATAAGCTCAAATTGAAATCAAAACCACTTACAAAATCATACAAAATCTCTTGGTTCAAGGAAGGGGGTGAGGTTCCTATAACAAAATAATGCACTATTAATTTAACAATTGAAAGTTCTTTCAAAGATCAAGTTGTTTGCGATATTGTTCCTCTTGAAGTCTATCATATTTTATTAGGTCGTCCTTGACAATTCGATCACAAAATCATTCATAACGGGGAAAAGAACACCTACACTTTGATTCAAAATAATAAAGAATTCACTATTTATCCTAAAAAACATGTGCCTAACCCGCCTGCCAAAAATATCAAAGTTGCAAAAACAAACACTTATGAACTGCTTCTTAACACAAATGAGTTGAAACAATCTGAGGTAGCTTACTTGATGCTAGGAAAAGAAACTGATTCAACTTCTCAAATTTTTAAAGAAATTCAACCTTTAATTGATGAATTTCTTGATATAACACATGAAGAGTTACCAAAAGGTTTGCCACCTATGAGAGACATTCAACATCACATTGATTTAATACCTGGTGCCACTTTACCTAATCTTCCCCATTACATAATGAGTCCAATTGAATATGAAGAACTTTTTAAGCAAGTGTCTGAACTGTTAGAGAAGGGTTTCATTAAGGAAAGCTTAAATTCCTGTGTTGTATCTGCTTTGCTTACTCCTAAAAAAGATGGAACATGGAGGATGTATGTGAATAGTCGGGCTATAAATAAAATCACCATCAAGTATAGATTTCCAATTCCTATGCTATATGATATGTTGGATATGCTAAGTGATGCCAAAATCTTTTCAAAAATTGACTTGAGGAGTGGATATCACCAGATTAGAATACGACCGGGAGATGAATGAAAAACTACTTTTAAAACTAAGGAAGGATTGTACGAATGGCTTGTTATGCCTTTTGGGTTGTCAAATGCTCCTAATACTTTTATGAGAATAATGAATCATGTTTTGAGACATTTTATTGAAAAGTTTGTTGTGGTATACTTCGATGATATTCTGATTTATAGCATTCACTCTTCTGATTATCTTAATCATGTGAAACAAATTCTGCAAACTCTAAGAGAGCAAAAATTGTACATCGATCTGAAAAAGTGTTCTTTCATGACTTCAAGTTTAACATTCTTGAGATATATTGTGTCTGAGGGAATTAAGGTTGATAATGTAAAAATTGAGGCTATTCAAAACTGGCATACTCCTAAAAACATAAGCAAGGTGAGAGGGTTTCATGGCTTAGCTTCTTTTTATCGAAGGTTTATTAAAAACTTCAGTTCTCTGATTGCCCCTATCACTGATTGTTTGAAAAAGGGAATCTTTAGGTTGACACCTCAAGCTGAACTAACTTTTCAAATGATTAAAGCAAAAATATGTCAAGCTCCCATCTTTAGCTTGCCAAATTTTGAAAAAAAAAATTGAAGTTGATTGTGATGCTCTGCATGTTGGTATTGGTGTTGTGCTTATAGCCAGAAAGGAAAACCTATTGCTTATTTTAGTGAAAAGTTGAATGATGCTCGATCTAAATATTCTACCTATGACTTAGAATTTTATGCGATTGTTCAAGCTTTGAAATTCTATAAATGTTATTTAATTTAAAGGGAATTTGTTTTAAACACTGACTATGAAGCTTTGCGATACTTGGGCTCTCAAAAAAATCTGAACAAAAGATATGCCAAGTGGGTCTCTTTTTTGCAAGAATACTCTTTTCACATTAAGCATAAAATTAGAGTGCTAAACAAAGTAGTTGATGCTTTAAGTAGGAGGTCTCATCTGTTGGTAACTGTTTATCCAACCATAACTTCTTTCGACTTTTTAAAAGACATTTATGTGAATGATCCTGATTTTAAGAGTATTTGAGAATCTTGTCTTACTTCTGGAACTGATCCTTCTGCTCAATTTGTCATTCAACAAGGTTTTCTATTTAAGGGTTCTAGACTTTGCATTACAAAAAATTCTTTAAGAGAACAACTTGTGCAAGAACTTCATAGTGGAGGTTTGGGTGGACATTTTGGTCAAAGATAAACTGTTGCCTTAGTGGAAGAAAAATATTTATGGCCTCATATGAAAAAGCAAATTGTTAAGCTGATGAAACAATATAAAATCTGTCAAGCTTTTAAGGGAACTTCTCAAAACATTAGTTTGTATACTCCTCTTCTTATTCCAAATAAACCTTGGGAGATATATCTATGGATTTTGTTTTAGGATTGCCTGTTACTGCAAGAAAATATGACTATGTTTTTTGTTGTCGTTGATTGATTTAGCAAAATGGCACACTTTATTCCATGCAAGAAAGCTTCTGATGCTTCATATATTGCTGATTTATTTTTTAAAGAAATTGTTCGTCTCTATGGCATTCCTCGAACATTCACTTCTGATAGGGATACTATATTTTTGAGCCATTTTTTTTAGAATACTCTGGGCAAAATTAGGAACTACTACTCTTCAGTTTAGTAGTGCATATCACCCACAAACCGATGGACAAACTGAAGTTATCAATAGAAGCTTAGGAAATTTACTGAGATGCCTAGCTAGTGAGAAACCATCCCAATGGAATTTAATATTGCCCCAAGCTGAATTTGTATACAATAATTCTATTAATCGCTTCACTGGTAAAACTCCCTTTGAGATTATTTATGGTCAGCCTATACCTCACATTTTAGATAAAACTTATTTGTCTTTACCTAATAAAGTTAGTGTTAAAGCCACAGAAACTCCACAGAAACTTTTGATCATATCAAATCTGTCCAACAGCAAGTCCTTGAAAAACTCTGAATGGTTCATGTTAAATACAAATCTGTTGCTGACAAACATTGGAGGGAAGTTTATTTTAAGGAGGGTGATTTGATTATGGCTTACTTTAGTCGCCAACGATTTCCTGTTGGTACTTTTGAAAAATTAAGCATGAAGAAATTTAGGCCTTCCGTGTTCTACGAAAGTTGGGCACAAATATCAATCTCTTGGATTTTCTATTACTATTGGCACTTCTCTTGTGTTTAATGTTTCTGAACTTTCTTTATATGAAGGAAATTATGATGATTCTGTTGAAGTTGAAACTTTACCACTTTCCACATCAATTCTAAACAATGATGATCAGGTTGAAGATGTTATTGATGTCAGAATTACTAAGACTGGACATGACGAGCACAAAAGATCTCTGGTTAAATGGAATAATCGTCCATTGACAGACTGTGCATGGATGGATGCTATTGAGCTGAAAAATTGCCATCCGAGTCTTTTTCAGAAAGTTGATAAAGCCTTCTCATCAAGAGATGAGCTTCTCCCAACTAGAGGGAATTGATGCACGCAAATTACAATTTATTTTCGTTTTTTATTGTAATTTGAATGTTATAATTTTTGTTTAGTTTTTTTTTTTATGCTATCCAATGATGAAAAACATCCAATGATCATGAGTAAGTAGGCTTGGGCATGGCAAATCTTAAGTGTGCTAGCTTCTTAGGTTCTTTGGTCTTTTGGCTCTCAGGTTGAGCCTTAGCTGCTCGGGTTTGGGTTGTGTTCTTTGGGTGCTTCTTGGTTCCAGCTCATAAATGCTTGAGCTAAAGGTTTAGCTCATTAATTTGAAAAGGTATTCTACTTGTTAAGCTCATTAAGTGGAGTTGGAACTTTTCTCTTCCCCTTCTTCGTGCCCCCTCGGTTTCTTCCTGGTGCTGTTTCTCAGGGCTGGTTCTCCTCCCTTTGTTGGGTGCTGGTTCTAGTCCCCTGTGCTGCCTTTTCGGTTTCTTCCTTGGTTGCTTTCCCGTGGTTGCTTTACCTGGTTCCTGTGTTGTCTTTTCAAGTGCTGCTCTATTTTGCTTGCAGGTCTTCCTCTTCCCCTTACCTGATAGTTTCGGTTGGAGGTGGGAATTGGTTATTTGGCTGCCCCTTTTCTCTTATAAATTATAGATGTATTTGTCATGAGGAGGTTATTGATTATCTTGAGAAAAGTCTTTAAAAACCTGAGGGTTTCTTCTCCTTTCTTGGAAAAGCTTGAGAGCTTGTTCCAATTATCTCTTCCTCCTCTCTATTTCGTCTTGGCTTTTAATCTCTTCTTCTCTACGCAAGTTCCACTCCACTTGTATCCTTCTTCTTGAGCTATTGGAGGTGTTTGTTGGCATAATTTGGTGGCATTTGCTGGAGGAGTTTGGTTGGACGTTGGACCTTGTTGTTGTGGTGGACCCTTGATTTGCAAGCCCTAAGCACTTATCTTATTTTACCTACTTTTCGTTGCATGTGAGGAAACCGCTTGCCCATTGTTCTGAGGATAGTGTTTTTATTTTTTAATTTTGTTTCGTTTGTTCGACTTTGGTTTGTTTTGGTGTTTGCTTGGATGTGTGCATTCTAGATTGAATTGAGTTTTGTTTTAGTTGTTCTAGTGCTCTCCTCTATTGACTCTTTCTTTCTAGTTTGCCTGCATCACGTTTGTATCCGTGCAATAACTTCGTTAATATTGTGTGCACCCACACATAATTATTTTGACGTTTTTTGTCTTTGTAGGCACAATTAATTTGACGTCTTTGCATGCCCTCTTTAGGCGCAATACCCAAAAAAAAAAACATCATAGGTTCATTTTACCTCTAATAAATTGTATTGATACTTGCAAGCACCTTCATAGCATGTATGTCTTTCTTGGAGTGGTGAGGGTCAATATTTCACCTTGGTTCTACACAAACTATATAAGCCCTTTTTTTATTGCATCACAAAATAGGCACTTTTGCTTGCTTCTTTAGAGCGGACGACGCAAAAACACTGCTAAATTTTCTAGCAAATCCCTTGAATCAAACTATCAACAAAGAAACAAGTATAAAAAGAACATAAAGAGCACTTAAGCTAAATATTTAAAACCAATTGCATGCACTATAATGAACTCATTGTGAACAAATAATAAAACTTGGACCCTATTTGAAGTGCAAGTTAGGTGGTTTGAAGCTCCCCCTTGCCTCCTCCCAAATTCAAAGACAAATGGCTTCATCAGAAAATATTCATAGGATTTTGCATATAACATGGTTTCCCTAATCTTTACAATAATCATTAAGTAATTTTTTAACATCTAAATATAAATAAGTTAAACTAGATAAAAGAAAGAAATAAATGATGTTATTATAAATCTCACGCCCTCATTTACACAGCAAGATTCTATGCTATACTAGGTATTCCTTCCTTTGAACATATTTGAATAAGGGAATAACTGCAGTTTGTAATCTATGTGACAATCCAGCGAATTGGGATTCTGAATCCATATCGCCAACTGGGAATCCTACCAACACTCATTAAGTTGCAGGGTAGTTGAGCTCGGGAGTCCTTCAGTTAGAAATTAGAATGTCAGCAAGTTGTTTGTCCTTGAACACACGATCTACATCAATGTTTAAAATTGCGTATTCGGGTATTGAGGCGTTTTTCGTTCATGAGGCGAGGCGTAAGCCTCAAGGCGTTTTGAGGCGTAAGCCTCAAAATCAAAAGATTGCGTAAACATAAAATGATAAATTTTTTATATACTAATGAGTGAATAATATAAAACATAAAAAAACATAAGATATGAATTGAAATCAAAACATCCCAATAATAAGACAACATGAAATATAGTTCAACTCAAAATTCTATCTTTCCTAAATCCCAGTATTCTTTTCATTAACATATAATTCCAATTTCCAAAAACAAATATCAATGACATATCACATAAGAACTCATAAGTCATCAACACTGTCATCACTAAGGGGTTCTTCATTTGAATCATCATTATAATGAACTGCTCTCTCTCCTTCCTCCTCTACTATAGAGTCCAATGTCGGACATTTACTTCAAGATTTATGTAAGTTTTAATATATATATATATAGCGTGAGGCGTAATCCTCATGTCAGTGAGGCGAGGCGGGCCTCGACCAAGTTGAGGCGCAAGCCTCATAAAAAAAACTCGAGGCGTAAGCATCGAGGAGTTTTTTACTGGAATTACGCAAAGGCGAGCCTCATATTGCGCAATTTTAAACCATGATCTACATATCAATCCACGTTATTATTATGTGTCAATCAATTTCAATTTGTTTTGTTCGATCATGTTTAACTAATTTGTGTACAATGTTGATAATTGATTTATTGTTGCAATATATCTTCATAATACCTTCGCACTTTATTTCCAAGTCATTTAGAATGATTTCAATCCATAATTTTTTGTAGATTCATTAGGTCATTGCGAGAAATTCTATTTTAGTACTAAATCCACATAAAATTAAAAAAAGGAATCAAATAAATATCATTTATTTGTGTAAAGTGATTACTTCTTTATGAAGGACATGACCATTGTTCTCCTCTCTTCTTTTGTTCGGCGAATCCGTGACTTGTTTTCCCTAGAAGCACTGCATTTAGGTAGGGAAAATGATTGCCCTACCGAGCTAACCGTCACACCCTGCATGATGGCAATGAAATTCACACCCTTTTGGAACGACACCTGTACCCAAAAAGATGAAGATTAGAATGAGATTACGTAAGTTAAAAAACAAATGGCCTGAAGCAAATGCCAAATGTCCTGTTAACCCATTTACTTGTAGCAACATTAAGTAGTCACATTTCTAACAAATAACATTTTAGCTCTTTCATTATTGGAGAAGTCATAGTCATATAAATGACCCAATTTCACATAATCAAGGATAACAAATAAGCTCGTAGTTACAGATGGTGGTCTTAAAGCTTGAGTAAATCTTTCATGTCCCAGAAAGTCAGTCTCAAACAATGCAGAACAATTAAGTTTTTGAGATCCACTTATCCGCGTGTCTTCTTTATTCAAACAAACATGTGTGAGTTGATTCCTACTTGCTTACAGTATTGGTATCAAGAAAAGGACAGCAAATGTCACATTATGGCCAAATCTTACAGTAAAATATGTATTTTTTTTATGTTAACCAAATCAACTAATTCAGAAATTATTTTCAAAAAAATAAAGTTAAAATTTTCAAATCAATAGTAGCTACCGTTCAGGAAAACGGTTAAAAAGTCAAGTACTTTTAAAGCCTAGCTGATTCTTGATAGCTGGAAAATATAATTCTCCATATGAAAAATATTGTAACTGTGATGCTAGGACTAGAAATAGTAGCCAAATTTTCTAAAGATTTCATGTTAATATCTGATCCATGCAGGTCGCACAAACACCAGATAAAGATGGTGGCAAAACAAACTAGTTTCCAACATTAGCAAATAAACAAACATGTTTGCAATCATTTATACCTGAAAAAGTTATCCATAACCTCAAAGTACACAAAGAACAACCAGGCCAATACAAGAGTGCATAACAAATTGAGGCGCTCAAAAAGCCCAACTATTGCTCACATAGAATCACAATCATCCAAAGGGAAACAATTTGAAATTTGAAAATTGCAGGCACAGATTCATAGTTAAGCGGCAATCACAAGAATAAAATGAGAAAAAAAAAAAACCCGCCCACATTTTTTTCTCTCAAAAAACACATGATTGAGAAAGATAAGTGGTTTGAAATATTAAATTGCACTCTCACAAGCACTAAACAAGCATCTATACAAACAATAACCTACCAACTAACACCTGAAGGAAACATATGGTTGAAGAAGCTTGACGACACAATACCATAATCACATACTAACGGCATTTCATGATAACCTTGAAGTTGGAAATAAATACGTAACTAGACGTGAACATAGTTTGGATATTACATTTTATCAATGGAACTAAGAACTACAATAAAATTTTACAAGATGGTTCAAGCCATAACATCACCAAGCATATAAATCATATTTCTCTTATAATTTCAACTGCCAACACTGGAATTAATTTAATACTTTTCCACAAAATGTGAAACCTCTAAACTTCCAAATTCCCTTTTCAAGAGACAGTGGCTTCTCAAAACTTTCAAGAGAATCATGCCCATGCATTATTTAGCCAAACTGGTAAGGGTGCCGGCAAGATCAATGCTAAGTAAATAAACCAGCTCGTAATGTTTTCAGTCTATAAGGTAATAGATGCCCCATGATTATTCCACCAAAATTCATCCCACTAAAACACCAAAAATACCATAACCTCCCACAGTTATTGTAGGTCTTCTCAATCTCCATGCTTTACTATGGATCCTTCATAAAATAAATAAAAAGACTAAAACTGTCAATAAAAATTTATGCATTAATGACAACTGGAAAACTATATAAGGCAAATATTCTACCTTTTCATTTTGTTAGTGAAGTCTCATCCTTGTCATCACCACTGGGATGATTAGTACTGTATGAAATGTGTATAGAGATAGTCAAACTCCCTAATAAAAAACAAAAAAAAATACATAACAATGACCATATCAAGGTTAATTCTCTTACATGGCATGGAAGTTTAAATACATAGAAGAGTAGAATAAACAGGAAGATCTCACCTTGAGCCTAGTTCATCAGCAACTTGTTCAGCTAATGCTACCCTCAACCAAGTTGGCCCACTTTTGGGCCTCCTCCAGATTTGAATCCAATGCAAACCTCTTACAATGCATAACCAAGAGTAATCTTCAGCGTCATTTACAACAACGAGTACATTTTTACTAGCACATTATATATTATCGCGCGCTATGCGTCACCTTACCCAAGGTTACTTCAAAGCTAAGAAACCCTAAACGCCATTAGCCTAACAAAAATTTTCTATAACATTAACCCGACTAAGCAAATATTCACAAAACAGCAAATTTTGATCGTAAATGTTGCAAACTGGAAGAATGGGAGGATGAAGAGCGAAATGCGGCCTTGGAGAAGACGGGAAAGAGAAAGGAATTGAGAAGAATAGTGAAGTGCAGCTCAAGTACCTTCGTTCGCCGACCACCGCCAAAGTAGGGTTTTAGCTTTTTTGGTCGAAATAAATAGACTTAGACATATTTAACGTTAATACTTATAAGAGAGGGCCTTGGGGCCGTTTGATAAGTAAATTAACATTATTTTAAATTTGATATATTTAAAACATTTTATAGTTTTTATTGGTTGTAAAATAGATTTAGAAGTTTATCTTTTTATATTTGGATGCTAAAAAGTGAACAATTTTTTTAGTTTTTATGTATTTTATTTATTAGGGCATGATAATGAGCCTACATTGATGACAAATAGAGGTTCTCAAGTGTCGTCGGTATAGTTAAATCGTGAGATCGGTTGTCAAGAATGCTGCCAAGAGGTCGAGAGATTGCAGACTGAGCATTGAGAGATTGCAAGTGCGTCATGCAATGCCAAAGGGCTGCAAACAAACCAATATGCGATAAATTTATCCGTGCTTCGATTTGATTAAAGTTCGTCCATAATTATTTAATAAAATATATAATATCTTTATAAATACTCTATTAATAAAAGAATAAGCTTAAGCAACATAATATTTGATTTATTTATCATTTGAACAATATCATTTAAATGTTAAGAAACTCAATTAAGATTTGATAATATGCTCATTTGATAGTGCATTATAAAATTACTTAATATGTGATTATGTTAGAGTATTATTATTGGCTATAGTATACTATTTTTATTCATGAACATTAGCTATTTATTTATGATTTTTAAGATATTTATTTGTTTAGGAAATCATTTAATTAAAGTCTCATTTTTTAGCTCAAATTATAATTATAATCGAACAAATGCACTCAATAAACAACTTCAATATTTATTCATATAATAATCATTTATTTACATGATTGAATAAAATGCTCATTTAAAGGCTGTTTAATTTTTTATTTGAAGATTTATTCTTTGTTATCTTATCAATTTTCCTATAATATATTCATTTTAAAAAGTATGTGCATTATTAGATGTTTGTGTATGATGAAAATATAAATAAATTGTTAGATCAATAGATTTAAATACTTTCTTATTATTATTTAAACTTCACCATAGACTTGAAGGCACCAAATAAATTATGACATTTCTTCTTAAAATATATAAATCCAAATATGTCTAGTAAATAGGCTATAGTTTAAATTATAAGTCAAATATATAATTAGTTAGGCTTAACAAAACTTAATTTCATCTCTAACTCAATAAGAAAACTAATAAAAAAGTTTCAATAAGTTTTTTAAACTTTGATTGTGTTCAAGCTTAGCTTGAACTCAATAAGAAAATAAATGAACCAATTCGAACCATGTTGTATCCAGTTCGACTTGGTTCACTTGCAATCCTAAGATCAATAAGGTGTTTATTAATAAGCTTGTTATGGTTTATTCAATCAAGTGAGAAGTTGTTCGAGAATGTTGCTTATTAACTGACTTGATAAATTTGGTTTGGTTGGCTAACAAGACATGCTCAAACAGCCTTAATTTGAAACAAATCAAGCTTAAAAACTAATATAAATACTCAAATCAAGTTCGAGCTCGAGTTTTGAACAAAGATTTGGTAAATGAGCTCAAACAAACTCTTACTCAACCAGGCTTGATTCATTTGAAGCTCTAAGCACCAACATGATGTTGTGAGATCATCGAGGCTCATGGGCAATGCAATCATATACCATTACACAGGTCATCGATGGGGTCACAATAATAAGGATGTGTTGTGATTAGACATGTCTTGCTGGAGATAGTGAGCATTGACATTGTCATTGATGGCATGTGTTGGACTTGTTGGTGAAGTAGGCATTCACATTAGTGTCAATGGCATGCATTAAGATTGGAGTTGACGATGTGAATCGGCATGGTTTATGGCAATTTGTTTTGGCGACAGGGGTTATCATCGACTTTGCATGTGTTAATAATGGCAATGTTAGTAATAAAGGCAAATGTTGGCTATTTTGGTAATGATGGATATCATCTTGTTGGCAACAGTGGATGCCTAACTTTGTTGTAATGGTGAATTGCAATTTTGGCTACAATAAAGGGCATTGGCTTTGATGTTTACAACAATTATTGACATGAGTGTACATGAATGGTATCTTCCTTATTACAAATGGTTTGCATATGCCTAGTTAGAGATTGGGTATTATAGTTGGAATCAATAATGCTCGTCAACCTTGCTAGTGATAACAATTGTTGACATTGGTGTTGACAGTATCGTCAACCTTTTTGGCGATGAAAGGCAACACCTTTGATATCAATGACGAGAATAGTGTTGTTGGAACAAAAATTGTTAACATTCATGTCTACAATGAATTGTCAACTTTGGTGGCAATGTCAGGCGTCAACGATGAGCATTGATATATATGATGGGCATCAATGTAAGAGCTGATGATAGGCATTGGCATTTTTGTCGACAATGAGCGTCAGCTGCTTGATGGCAAGTTCTATATTCTCTTATCTATAATTCTTTTTATGGTCTCTTCCCATCCTCTTCTAATGTGATTTTATCTTCATAAACCCTAGAATCATATTCATCCTATATCTATGTATGAATGTATTTTATCCCAATTCTCCTATTTGTTCCAACATTCCTCTGTTGATACAATGAATCATATCAGGTTTTAATTTCACACATGGTCATTGCATGAATTAAATGAAGTGTGATTGAGAGCAATCATAAACAATTTCATATGCAAGAGTCTACATTAGGAACAATACGCTTCATTCTCGTCATAAGTCCAAAACAATGATTTTTAGCTGGCCATAGAAGTTAGCTTACACAAAACATATTTCCTTAATAACAACATAAAAAATATAAGATATAGGTGGAGGAAATATCACCCAGTCAAGCATTTACAAGCAATTTCAAACAACAGATGCTCTTCGAATAGATTTCCATTACGCACGTTCTCTCTCTACTCTAACCCCCCACTCATTTTATGATCTTCAACAAAACAGACGACCAACCCTCAACAAAATGAAAAAAAAAATATATTTATATTAAGTACAAAAACTGAGACGGGTGTCGTGGCACGGCGGTGTTGCAATAATGAACTAATGCCTGGACGCTAAGTACTTGGCTTCGTTGCGGCGTTAGGTTGAATCGGTGAGATGCTTCACTGAGGGCGATTTGTCGCCGCGGCGCCATTATGACACTGCAATGTTGAACAAGAACTTGCATCATGGCGCTCCTAGCGCTGGGACGTTTCAAACCATGGCGTCGGGGCTTTGCCAATTTACAGAACTCAGACCACTCCAACACTCCAAATTATAACACAATGGTGTCTGACGTCGAATCATTTTAATGCATTTTTAATGGACAAAATTTTAGGAAGTAGCTGGTCGTTATTACAAATAAGCAGAAGGTGCATACTTGCAGAAAATTTTAGGATTGAGCGTAATTGTCAATCCAATTGGAGCAGTTAGAAATGCGTCGAAATGTTTAGCGCATGCAACTGTGTCCTCGACGAGTTGGACTGAGTCAGAATCACGACGTGACGGCTCTTGATTGACGTCCGGTGTTCACACGTAATAATTTTCCTGAGGGCAAGGATGAAAGAACGTAGTCATCACAACCCTACAAATCAGAAATATAATTCGAATGCCTGCATATCCAATAATCCATCAATAAAGAAACTGAATGTGCCACTTTATTTGGCGCACTATTCATGCCAAATTAGTTGGCGCATTCCCCTGAAATCCGCAGCTCATATAAAATGTATCATAAAAATCTACAACTTTGATCCTTTTTAAAATTTTGCCGTTTAAAAGGGCAAATTATTGCGTCCAGTCACTTGACATGCGGACATCCAATCCGAACACGCCATCTCACCCGGATGCTATGGGCCCCGATATTTTTGAGTGACATGGCGCATTTTTATTGGTGTCCGGACGAATCCAGACACCGGACACAATAATTTACCTTTTAAAAGAGACTAATTTCTATAAAGTCTCGAAATCCTTCATGGCGCTTGTTCTGCATGTGTCCATGCCTCCATGGTAAGGATGAATGTATCAGTATTTACTTAAAAGAGTTGTTGAATCTTGTAGTTTTAGGTTTCATTTGAGATAATTTTCTTATTATTTTTTAAAACAATTTTTTAGTGTAAATTTTTTGGTCAAGAGATTTTTATACTAAGACTTCGTTTGGGATGATTTTTTATTGTTTCTTAAAGTAGCTTTCAAGTACAAAAAATTTAATATTAAATTTTTTGTACTTGAAAGCTGCTTTAAGAAGCAGTAAGAAAGCCATCCAAAACAAAACCTAAAAATTAATTTCGAAGGTAATAAAAACATTTTCCGTACAAAATATTAGTTGCTCTAATCCAAGCTTCTTCTCAAGAGGAGAATAAGGCTTCGTTTGGGACGATTTTCTTGTTGCTTCTTAAAGCAGCTTTTTAGTACAAATTTTTTAGTTATTAAACTACAAAACTGCTTCAAAAAGCAGCAAGAAAGTCGTCCCAAACGAAGCCTAAAATTATCCTGCTCACTGCTGTGAGGAGATACTGTGTTTAGCATTTTTTTTTAAGAATTTGATATTTGTAAGCACCCTAAAAGAAGATGCCCAGTTAGGTAGCAAACGGTGGTTTTATTAGATCATTTAATAATATAACTTCTACTACACAAATAATGATCTCGTATTTCCCCCCTTTTTTTGTTCGTTTAGCTTAATACAATTTTTTTTCATAAATATAATTATAAAATTATTGCGAGAAACGGTATTTTATTACTAAATTATTGTTATTAATACTATAAATATTGTATTTTAGAAAAAACAATCTTAGTAGAGTAGGCCTGTTTAGGGAACTTTTATTTGGTCTGGTCACAGAACGTAGCTCTACGTTCGGCCGCCAGTAGAATCGCACCACGCGTTCTCACTATTTACCGCGCGCCCCGACAACCCGACCCGGAACGGACCCAGGATGGCTCGGTATTTCTCGATTTTGCTAAGTATTGCTCAATATTGCTAGATATTGATCGATTTTACTTGGCAATAACCAATACCGAGAAAATACCGAGTTGTACCGAGTTTTTCTAAACTCGGTACAACTCAGTATTTGTTCAGTATTGGTCTTCACATAGTGGCATTTCTCGTTATTGCCATGCAATACCTAGCAATACCAAGCAAATACCGAGTAATACCTCACAATACGCGAACATAGCATTCCCGGGTTCCGGTCCGGGTCAAGTCGTCGGGCCACGCGGTAGAGAGTAAGAGCACGTGGCGACATGTTATTGGCGGCCGAACGTAGCTCTACGTCCGATCAGAAGACGTAATAATTGTTCCTGTTTAGGGCAGCTCTATCACGGCTTTCCTTTTAGATCTCTCCTATACATTCTTTCTCCTATACATTCTTTTGATTAGATTTGGAATTTTACTAAAAAGCTATTTTAAAAAATAATAATAAAACCACTCAAATGAAGCTATATCTTTTCTCAGTTTTTTAAAATTTTTTGGAGCAATAAATTATTTTTTAAAATCCAATCTACTAGAATATAATATTTGAGAGAAAGTTGCTACTGGATTTTTAAATATATATATCCAAAAACAAACTTCCAGAAAATTATTTTTCTCATCAACTTTACAATTACCTTTAAAAAATTTGTAGCCACCTCAAAAATAGCTTCCCATTACCAAAACTTTTGAAAAAAAGCAAAAAAAAAAAAAAAAAGCAACGAAAGTTTGGTTGTGATTTGAAAGAAAGACAATGGGAAAGTTGCCCCAAACATATCTAAATATTTCTCTAAAAATAAGTAGACGAGAGTCAAAATGATATTCCATCTAAACATTCATTCACAATCCAACAAAGTTTCAGTAGAAAGTTTATTCATTAATCAATAATCAATCATGTTTGTCTAACAAAAAACAAGCCACTACATGAACAAAAATTTAACTTATTTTCCATGACTTGCTATAAAAAACTAAAGAAACTTTGTGAGCCTAACCTCCCTGAAGAATCAATATTTACACACACTTGCTGGTAGCTTCCACAGCCCATTCCACAGAAGTATAACCCCCTGGCCTAAAATTCCCCATTCTTCTGTTAAGATTGAGCAAACAAATTGAACCATATCCACAAAAGCACTTAAGGAAACGCGATTTACCAGCCCCAACTGGAGAATGAATTCACCCAGCATTTGATTTCCACTCCATCCAAGCAGGGTTCAGAAACTGGAATATATAGTACATGTCACCTCACTGTGGGTGCTGAGGTAAAGTTATTCCCAGGTGAAAGCCT